CCACGGCCTCAGCTTCCGACATTTCGGCAGATAGGCCGAGGTTGTTAGATCCGGTTCCCCAACAGTCTCTCGGTCCAGGATTAATTAAGCGAATCTTGAGTTCTCATTAAGGACCGGGTCTGGTGATAATTACCAGGAAATGTATGCATTAAAAATATTCATTTGTCAATGCAGTGTAATTACGAGCCCCATTTTGGGGGGGGAAGGATCGATACCCGTGTCGTGCAATTTGGGGAGGGGGAGGGGAGAGAAGAGAGGATGATATAACGGAAGAGTTTTGCTTCTGAATGTGAATCAAAAAGCTTGCTGAAGATCAGAGAGGATCTTTCTCCCCTTCTTTTCTCTGAATAACTCGTGTCTCACCCTTTGCGTCCCTGAGCCGATCCTCGCTTTTTTGCCTCTTGCTCTTTCCTTTGTTTAGCTAAACCGTTTGTTTCCTGATGCTGTGCTGCATTGTTCAAGTGGGTTATAGATTTATTAGAGTGAGACAGAGTGACAGGTCAGAGAGAGAAAGAGAAAGCGAGGAGAGACTCATCCCCAGTGAAAGCCACTTCCTTCCAGAGTGTGTTTAGTAATCCAGGGAATGCTACGCCGATTATGAAACCTCTTTGTGCGGTGGGAGGGGGGAATTGGCTTACTTATAATCCCTCACCTCTTTATGCCTTATTACTGGTCATCTGGAGAGGCTATTGTCTACATCTAAATCAGGAGGTCAGCTAGCGCCAAGCTCTTCCTGATCAGTGACAGTTTGCTGTCCCCCCGGCAATGCGAAATATGCACATAACAGTGCTGGACTTAAGGGTTCGACTCCTCTGTACAGGATTCGAACCCAGTGCCAAAAGGGATAAGCTTGCAGGGGCAAACAGAGAGGCATGGATTCAGAGTTTGGCATTCCAAGCGGGTTGTGGTCAGTGTCCCCTCTAAGCTGAGTTAGTGTGAGCTAGCTCACAGTTTTTTAGCCTCCAGCTCACACATTTTAGTCTCAGCTCAGGAAGGGATTGCTCCCGAGTAAACTAATTTATGCAGTGGCCAAATCGCTCGCTCACAACTTCAATGCCAGTAGCTCACAAAGTAGAATTTTTACTCACAGGACTCCACAGCTTAGAGGGAACATTGGTTGTGGTCGTTGTGGATCCCGGTGCTGGGTACGGCCTCGCGCGGGTGGCTCGCCGAGCTTTAGGGAGATGGAGATGGGTAAACTGCAAATATTGTTCGAATTGAAAGGCAGAGGGGAAACCTGGAAAGGCTGAAGAAGACGTGTCGGTTCAGGGTTGCCAAATCGTGGCTGGAAAATTCCTAGTGGTCTGGCGGTGGAGCCAGGGGAGGGTGGAGTTTGACCTGGAGCGCTAATACCACTGCTCTGGTGAAGAAGGCCCAGCAGAGGCTCTTTTTTCTCAGACTTTTAAAGAAAAACAACTTGAGTGAGAAAATACTGATGTCTTTCTATCGTTGCTCAGTAGAGAGCATTTTAACATACTGCGTCTGTGCCTGGTTTGCCAGTTGTACGGCTGTGGATAGGAAAGCACTCCAGAGAGTTATCATCACAGCCCAGAAGATTATTGGCTGTC